GATCATTTATGTATATATATATATTTTGCTCAAAATACATTTTGAAATAGTATTTTGATAGAACAGATGTGATTAAAAAATAAAAATAAAAATTGAGAACATGTTTGAGCCCTTTTTTTTTTGTGAAAATGTATTTTATAATAGTATTTTGATGAAGAATGTGTGGTTGAAAATAAGAAAGAGAAAACTATATTTTGAAAATAATGGGGGACCAAACAAGGCTTAATAATAAATAAAGCAAATAAATAGCTTTACGATCTCTTAATATATTTTTTATTGAAACCTAATTGGGGACAATATGAAAGATTGACAACTAAAATGCAACAAAAAGTCGAGGACATAAATACAATAACAAGATGAGGTTGAGGGCTTTCAATATGATTAAAATCTGATGCAACAAAATGTCAATATAATCTAGGTAATTATATTAACACCACAATATTAATATCTTGCACCATATTTTAATTACATTTAAGATTTTTAATCTTTACTCATTACAAGATTTATGTTTCTAACGATTTTTCACGTTATTCTTATTCTCAAACTTTTCACTAGTTAATACATTTTGTATTTCATAATAGTTTTATATCCAAAAGTCCGTTGAAATAGTGTAAAACGACTTATTTTTCTATCATTTAAAAAAAAAAAAAGAGAATATTTTTCCCTTAGGTTCCGTTTGGTAGGCGAATGTGAAAAGGAATTCCAATTCCATATTAGTTGGAAAACAAAAACTCACCAAACTCATAGGAATTCGTTTTCCATGAAAACAAAGAAAATGCAGTTTAAAGTGGTTATACCTTGGAATTTGATTTTCATTTCCACGTTGCAATCAAACAGTCAAAGTGAAATTCGTTTTTCTCGAATGTGACATTTTTCATGGAATTCTATGCTATTAAATGGACCCTTATTTCAAAACATGAAAACAAAATATTTTAATATAAATCATCATCAATGATGAGGTGTACTAATTAATGGAAGGTTGATTATAAGAATTCGACAAAAAAAAAGTTAGGAAAATAATTGCTACAATAAGCAAATATTGAGAAGTTTAACTGAAATTAAAATGTGATGTACTAAATAAAAATTGTGTTGGTAATATAATCAGCTAAAGTAAATGAATAATTCTATCTAGGCCCCCAGTATCAGTGGTACTAGTACACCAATCAAAAGTCATGCAAGTGATTGGATATCTTAAATGTAATTTATTTTCCTACTTTCAAAGTAATTTATCAATTAGGGTCCGTTTGATTATAACAGTGAAATTTGGGTAGAAATAAAATGAATTCCAGGGAATTGGATTGCGACCTCGTTTGATAAGTCTAATTTTCAAAGGAAAATGGAAAATGAATTCAATCTCCAACTTTTCATCATGTTTGATAGCACAAATTTTGCTTGGAATTTATTTTCCTCCTGCCATGCTTACGCGTTCATTTCCCCTTGAATCAAGGAATTCAAATTCCTTTTGTTTTAGTGGGAATCTGATTTTTCATCTTTTTTTTTTGGCAATTGGAAAAAATTCTAGATACAATGGTAAAAAAAATTATTACTTTTATTGACAATTTTCATGCAAAATAAAGCCAAACGAATGGTATTCGGTATGATAATTTTTTTTGGCAAGTAAAACAAATTCTAAACCCAATGGTAAAAGAAATTATCACTTTAATGTACAATTTTCATGAAAAATAAAGTCAAACGGACACCAAACATTCAACATTTTTCAGGTGAAAAATTATACCAATGAAACAAAATTAATTACAATTCTCAGTAAAATATTTTCTAGACAATTCAATTCCCTAAAATTCATTTTATTTCTACCTATTTGCCACATTTACAATCAAACGGACCCTTGTTTTCCTGAGAATTGTCAATTAATTGTGTTTGATTGATATAATTTTTCACCTGAAAAATGTTGAAATTTTGGATCTTTAAGTGTTCGTTTGATTTTGTTTTTCATGAAAATTGTCAAGTAAAGGGAATTTTTTTTTTTTTACAATTTTCCATATAATTTGTTTTCATTGCAAATAATAATAGTAATAATAATAATAAATAAAAAACAAAAAAAACTTGGAAAACCAAATCCCACCAAATTGGTGGGAATTCATTTTCCTCAAACCCATGGAAAACTAATCGTGCGAGGCAAAAGTGAGTAAATGAATTGCCAAGAAAACTTGGTCAGTTAAACATGTCATTTGGGTGGAAATGGAATTTCTTTTCCATTTTTCATGGAATTTTTGTTGAATCAAACATAACCTTAATGATACTTGAGTGTGTTTGGTAGAAATTAAAATCGGATTAAAATGGAAAAATTAGTCGTTATTGTTGATTTTTATTAGACGAGTGAGACCCAATAATTGCTATATTTTCAATTTTAATTGGATTTTAATCCGACCCGAACACACCCTTATCATTACTTAAAGTAAAAGGGTAATTATATTGCCATCACAAATATTATTTATTACACCATATTATAATTATACCTCAAATAAATTATATTTTTAATAAATACACCACATTAATTTTTCAATTGTAGTCATAATCAAATTAAAACTTAAAATATTACTATGTTTATCCCTTCTCAATTTTATATTCCTTCAATTCTCCCTCCCCACCTCGCAGGCATTCAAACCTTGCCCATGGAAAAAAAAAAACTTTTCCACGCAACACCACCAATTAGTCCCAAATCCTATATTTAATACTACCTAGAAAAAGTCAAAAACTTCTCCCATCCCACCAATAAACGCCATTCTAATTCTACCAAATGAAATACCAATCCCACCCACTATAAGCACCCCTCCACAACCCTCACCCCACTTCTAATTTTGCCCACACATATTTACCCCACCTCACTCCACTCCACTCCACTCCACTCCATCCATATCTACACCAAGTTAATTTTATTAATTACTTACAATTATCAAGTTTTACATACATCACAAAATCAATAAAAGAAATAAACAATCCACCATAATTACCATAGAAATAGAAAAAAGAAAAACAAGTGTAGTGAGGAAAAGAAAAGCATGTCCACGGTGAAGAAAAAAAGTTGCAGAAAAAGAAGAAGATAAGTTTCACGTTTGTGGTGGAAACAAAATAAAAAATTAGTTTTAAAAAATATTTAAAAGAATGTCTATTTATGTAATCTTATTTTGGATTATTTAAGTAGATAAAACATATATAATATTTAAAATTGTGGTGTAGTAAACAAAATTTGTAGTGGTAATATAATTATCTAAACTAAAAATCTAGTAAAATTTAACAAAAGACAATTTTAACCTCAACTTGAAATAAATTTTTTTTTTTTTGGTTGGATTGAGATTGCGAAATGCAATGATTGAACCACTTAACGGCATAACTTTATACTATCATTAGGCATCGACCCAATTGGCTAAAAGCATTTTTGACATGTGCAAATACACGTTCTTTGTCGATATACAATCTATTCTACAACACTATAAAGTCTAGGCCCCTGTTTGGTGACCTTCAAATTTTAAAAATAGAGTTTTTGAGTAATATTTTTTTGGAGAATATTTGGTTAAAAAGTAAGGAAATATTTTGGATTTACGTGTGGCATATTTTATTGTGTGAATCTGTAGTTGAAAATGAGAATGAAAAATAAATTTAAGTAAAATATATGGAATTAAATTGGGGCATAGATCCTCTAGACTATTTGTGATTATTATTATTTGTTAAATCATGATAAATAAGCTGACCATGTGGCAGATGAGGTGTCATCCCAGCCAGCTGAACAAGTAGCCACAGCAAGCAATGAAGCTCCAGCACGATAGGAACAATCTAGAAGGGAAAGATGATCTAGAAGGTTTTACACATGGAGTTTGTTATTTTGTAACAATATTTGATTCTTTGTAATTATTTCCTTGTTTGTACCGGTCTGTATGTATATATATTGCTGTAATATCCATTCATAATGAATCAATCAATTTACAGATTATTGAAATCAAATTTTCTGTTTTCAACTAATTGTTTGGATTACACCATTTCCATCTTAATTCCATTTTGTTATATTATTTATCTCTAGTAAATGAAATATGCAAGAGTTTTGGCGCTATTTCAATCTCATACATTGTTCTCCTTTCTATTAATTTTTTAACTATGTTATCAGTATGGAGCCAACTGAGATCATGCCTTTATCTCTCTCAGTTTCAATAGTGAAATGTGAAAGACAATAGTGAAAATAGCAAAAAGGTTCAAGGCTAAAATCTAATTTCACTTTTTTTAAGGTTTTATGTTCTATTTATTTTATTATTTTACCTAGCCGAATACACCGTAGACATGATCATTGGAGCAAATTCTCCATGTTTTGAAGGATAATGATATAGATATTGACAGAGTCGTACCTTAAAAATTAACGGTTAGAGTTAGAGAGTCGACTTTATATAAACCACGAAACGAAAGCCCGCACTTTCAATTTGATGTTCAAGTTCCATACTCTGCAATGTAATGGAACCATGACAATCCACCATATTTTGAGATATGACTTTCCAAAGAACCATATCAACGGTATCAGAAGAAGCACCATGTTTTCCCAATTGTAGATTTGCAATCGAATGGCGCAGAAGGTGATGTCAACATAAAATTGTTCGTCCGAAACTAATGCTAATGCATAGTCAATCCAATCGAGGAGTGTGGTGAATTGTAATGTTTTCATTGTAAAGTATGAGATTTGAATTCCACGTAAAAATATGAGCTTTGGATGTGTGATTGATATGAATTTGAGCCCTCCTACTTCACCAACTAAATTTTAAGATACTATTCTTCAATATTTATATTAGATATACACCAATTTATGTGCCACAAAATCCAAGACAACTAGTGGGTGTGAAGACGACACATAAATGGATTATCCCAACTGTTGTATATCCACTCGTTACAAGCAATCCAAATCCTCGTAATATTATAGTTAACATAACATTCCCAATCCCAGAATTTTCTGATCGCCACTTGGGTTACAATTCCCTCCCAAGACTTTCGTTTCAGTATACCCCAATTTGACCATTAATATCAGACTCAAATGCCTGTTTCGGCTGCAGCAGTGGGCTCAGTTTCAGCCTTTCTCTCACGTTTCTTGAGCAGTGAGAGTGCTGCTGTCACAAACCCCCAACCATCTTTGAGCCTCTCCCGCAGTTCATCAGGCAGAAGGCAGCCAGTGTTGGGTGCCCCTAAAGTCTCAGTTTCCAGTGGCAGCAACACTAAAACTGACGGGGTGGTGGATCAGTCTTCTTTGTCGCCTGATGAGATAAAACCAGCTCGGGTGTGTTCCCTTAACTCTTTTTGTTTGTGCCTTCCCAAGTTTATTTAAGAATAGTGAAAAAGAAATGCTAAGTCAATGAATAAACTAAAGAATGCATATCCGGTATTCCTGGATTGATGGGTAATTGGGTTTTCACCTTGATCTGCATTGCTAATGATTGAAAACAAATTAAAGAAAAACGGGAAAAATGCTAAGAAAGAGAATCGATCAGGTGGATTCTGATTATAGTCATAAAAAATGGTGCTTTATGTTGAGCCAAACATGTTCTAAGTGGCTATGTACTGTAGTAGGTCATTATTTTCTTTTATAATAACTTCGTATCCTGCTTTAAATTGGTGAAAAATTTATATATTAACCGGAAATTTTCACGCTTAATATTAAGGTCATGGCGTGGTAATTTGAGATGGAAATTAGACAAAATATAAGACAAGTTTGAGCGGATAATTTTCTGGTCCCCTCTACTAGAGAAAGCAGATTGTTAAAGTAGTTGAGCTGCAGTCTTTGGACGAATAGGACCCTATACCTCGAGGTTGTTAATTAGCTACAGCTACTTGTTAGTAGAATTTGTGCACTGATCTGAGAGATCAGGGTCTTGAACCGCTTTTGATTTTAGTTGCAGTTAGATTTGCAGTGAATTCTGAGCCAGTAGTACCTCTCAAAAGTGACACTGATTTTGCCATTCGAAGAATACATGTGAATGACTTTGTTCCATTCATGTCTTAAAAGTGCTAGCAATTAAACTTTTTCCGTGTTTAGATAGGCAGCCAAATTTTAACTCTTAAGTTTGAATACAATTAGTCCAAAGGACAAAAAAATGTCTGTAGCAATTTAGCATAACAGTTTCTGTTTTCTTTAGCATTTCCCGTCTTCAGGGGGAATATACAGTACCCTCAATGAACCATCAATGCTTTGCCTTTGTTTAAGAGAAACTATGTAATATTGTCTAAGTTGTTCTTTGAGAATAGATTCACCTGATTGGGTTAGTTATTTTGATTAACATTAATGCTTTGTAAAGGCTTCTTACATAATATTATTTTACTCAAAGAAGTAGAGGTCTGCTGACTGGAAAGCTGCAAGGGCTTATAATGAGAAAGGACTCATCTATGACGGAAAGATCGAAGGTTTTAATGGTGGTGGTTTGCTAATCAGATTTTACTCTCTCCTTGGTTTTCTTCCTTTCCCACAGTTGAGCCCTTCTCATTATTGTAAAGGTATTAAATCTCTTTTCAATGTAGCTCTACACACAACCAAATCTGTTTCCTAGTGTTTATTCGCATTTCTCTCTTTTTATATTTATGTAAATAGTTAAATACAGTCCAGGCTATGTACATGATTTAAAGTATGATGAAGACTATTGATTATCTATTATACCCCAGTGGCCTAGACTATTTTATAAACCAGAATAATTTTATTCCTTGAATAATGGAGTTTGACACGAATTCACCAATTGATTGTATGTAAATGTGATTAACCCATAAAATTAAAAGAAGAGGTATCTCGTCTTTGGTTAGTTGTGGTTTGTAGGCTATATGTGTAGTCACAAGACTACGTTTAACTTTCTTCTGAAGTAACGTTGTTTTAGAAATACATAGCCTTTTACTTTCTTGAAACCATTTAATATGGAACACTAAAAATAAGTAAACTTCTTTTAAGTAAATTATTGGATGTGCATGTTAGGGGTCACATGCTATAGTTTAGTGAATCAAATGTCCAACATGAATACATGGAAGTATGGAACCTTAAAGTGTCAACTCAAGTTCTGGCGAATGGGATGAGAATTGTGATTTCACAGGCTGAAAAGCTGGTGTTGACAGGGCATTTTATAATAAATTTTCTTTGCATATACTTTTCCATTTCTTGTAATCATGAGACATTTTTAGCAGTTTGTGTTTGAACTTGGTGGTGCAATGTAACTGGAAACTGTGACTAGAATAATGAATATTTTAATAATCTTTTCCCCGCTTTCATCACTGTGTCGTCCTTATCATTGTGTTCTGTACTTAATTTTTCAATAGAATATGACTATGTTTAGCCTCCCACCTGCTTAACTTTGCTGTTCATCATCACTAGTTGCTTATGTTATTTAACATTTAGTCAAATTTGGTAGTTCATAAAGTAAGGATGTACTTCCAAATGCTAATGTTGTAAATTTTTGTATCACCTTGTCATTCAGCACCTCACAAGACAGTTCAAGAGATTGCAAGAGATTTGACAGGTTCTGTAATATCTGTGAAGGTATGGAGTTTAATTATTGCAATATGTGATCTTTTCTATGCCAAAAATCAATTCATCAAGTGAACATATTGATATTTAGTTAGCTTTAGAAACTTAATTATTTTAAACTACCACATAATCCCAAATGAGACATGAGTGAACTTTGTTTAGTTACCTTGGCGAGTTATAAAGTTCTATGCTGAAAGCACAAAGTGCTTCCTTGTTCAAGTTGGAGTGATGGTCTTACAATTCATTCGATGATCAAATTACATCCATGAGAAGGGTCTACAGAGGCATGTGTTGACAATACTTAACACAAGATGCACACCCAAGATATGTGTCCTCATTTTAAGTAACAATATTGCTGCATAGCTGTTTTCTTCTACCCACTCTATCTAGTAGTCAACCACTGGACACCATCCCGAATTGTGTTAGTTTCTCATATAGAGTATCAATGATGAGTGGGCAAAAATAGAATTTTGAAGTCCATGAATTGTTTGCAATCAAAGGAAAAAAACCCAATATACAAAGACAGTGTCGGAGAACCAATTCAATTGAGGGGAAATTCTAAGTTTTAATGCAATTCACTCAAAATGTCCTTTTTATGAGCAATTTGAACACTGGCAATAGAATATCTCGTTAGGAAGGTTGTGTTCTCATAAACTTTTGAAATTTTGGCCTGGGATCTAATTTTAGTACCTATGGTGTAATCTTCAAGACGAAGATTTCTGGACAACATTTGAACATCAGCATTGTTATAGATTGTAATCAATTAATTACCTTATTCTAGGATCCTGATTTATACACTTTCCGAAGATAGAATCCTAGACTTTGTATATATATGTGTATCACCGTTTCCAATTGTAATGAGAAAGAATATTCTTCATGATATTATTTTACATGGTATCAGAGCCCAGGTTGTGTGGCTAGATAAATCGAGGTGGTGAAAAATTCTTATGAGATGGTAGGAATTGTTGGGGCAAACAAGTCCCACATCGGTTGTGGGAAGAAAATAAATCCACCATATAACCCAAGTGGGCTACATCCATTACCAATTGGTTTTGGGATGGAACCTCACTTGGGCCTGGTGGTGTGAGCTTGGGCTTTGGGTAATTGCTCTCAATAATTTCCTAATTAATCGCATGCCATCATCTGTTCTTTATGGTGAGATCCCTTACAAAATCCTTTTTCCCAATAAGTCGTTGTTTCCTGTTGATCCTAGGGTATTCGGTAGCACTTGCTTTGTTCGAGATGTTCGTCCGCATGTCACCAAATTAGATCCCAAGTCTTTGAAGTGTATCTTCCTTGGTTATTCTCGTCTTCAGAAAGGGTATAGGTGTTATTGCCCTAGTCTTAACAAATATCTTGTCTCAGTTGATGTTACCTTCATGGAAGACACACCCTATTTTCCATCTTCTCCTCCTCCCGTACACACGGGGGAGGATGATGATTTGTTAGTTTACTCTATCACATCTTCTGCACCTGCCTCGGAACCCGCTCCCGTGAGGCCTCCTATTAGTCAGGTCTACTCCAGGCGTAACCCTCCTGATTCATGTCCCACGCCCGCTCCTTCGTCATCAGATCCAGTCCCGATTGATGATCTTCCTGTTGCGTTACGCAAAGGTAAACGCCAATGAACTTATCCTATTTCTTCTTTTGTCTCGTATAACTGTTTGTCGTCTTCCTCTTCTTCTTTTATTGCTTCTCTTGATTCTATCTCTGTTCCCAAAACTGTTCACGAAGCCATATCTCATCCTGGTTGGCGTCATGCAATGATAGAGGAAATGAATGCTTTAGATGATAATAGTACTTGGGATTTGGTCGATTTACCTTTAGGGAAACAGGCTATAGGGTGCAAATGGGTGTTTACAGTTAAGGTAAATCCGGATGGGTCAGTCGCTCGATTGAAAGCCCGTCTTGTCGCTAAAGGATATGCTCAAACCTATGGCGTGGACTATTCTGACACTTTTTCGCCTGTTGCTAAGTTGACATCTGTTCGGTTGTTTATTTCTATGGCAGCTACTCATCATTGGCCTTTGCATCAACTAGACATTAAAAATGCTTTTCTTCATGGTGATCTTCAGGAGGAGGTGTATATGGAGCAACATCCTGGTTTTGTTGCTCAGGGGGAGTCTGAGCGAGTTTGTCGTCTTCGAAAATCTCTGTATGGTTTGAAACAGAGTCCTCGTGCTTGGTTTGGAAAATTTAGTCAGGCCGTTGAAGAGTTTGGTATGATGAAAAGCAAGTCTGACCATTCTGTGTTCTACAAACAAACGGTAGCTGGTATTATTCTTTTAGTTGTGTATGTGGATGACATTGTCATTACTGGAAGTGATACTACAGGAATTTCATCTCTTAAGTCTTTCCTTCACACTCAATTTCACACGAAGGACTTGGGAATGTTAAAGTATTTCTTGGGTGTTGAAGTCACAAGGAGTAAAAAGGGTATCTTTTTATCTCAGAGAAAATACGTCCTTGACTTATTAACTGAGACAGGAAAATTGGGGGTGAAGCCTTGTAGTGCTCCAATGAATCCAAACATGCACTTTACAGGAGATGGAGAACAAATTGAAGATCCTGAGAGGTATAGAAGGTTGGTTGGAAAGTTGAATTATCTTACGGTGACTCGTCCAGACATTGCATATTCTGTCAGTGTTGTTAGTCAGTTTATGTCATCACCAACAGTTCATCATTGGGCGGCGCTAGAACAGATTTTGTGCTACTTGAAAGGAGCACCCGGGCGAGGTATCTTGTATGCAAATCATGGGCACAATCGTATTGAATGCTTTTCAGATGCAGACTGGGCAGGTTCCAAAGTGGATAGAAGATCCACATCAGGTTATTGTGTTTTTGTTGGAGGAAATTTGGTCTCATGGAGGAGTAAGAAGCAGAACGTTGTGTCCAGATCGAGTGCAGAGGCAGAGTATAGGGCTATGTCACAGTCTGTATGTGAGATAGTGTGGATATATCAGCTCTTGACTGAAATAGGTCTTAACATTTCAGTACCAGCAAAATTGTGGTGTGATAACCAAGCTGCCCTTCATATTGCATCTAATCCTGTGTTTCATGAGCGAACTAAGCATATTGAAATTGATTGTCATTTTATTCGCGAGAAAATTCAGCAAGGATTGATTTCTACAGGATATGTGAAGACTGGAGAACAATTAGGGGATATCTTCACGAAAGCTCTAAATGGGGTTCGGGTTGATTATTTTTGTAACAAGTTGGGCATAATTAATATCTATGCTCCAACTTGAGGGGGAGTGTTATAGATTGTAATCAATTAATTACCTTATTCTAGGATCCTAATTTATACACTTTCCTAAGATAGAATCCTAGACTTTGTATATATATGTGTATCACCGTTTCCAATTGTAATGAGAAAGAATATTCTTCACGATATTATTTTACAAGCATATTCTAAAAGAAAGCTGATATAGACTTTGTGGTTCTGTTGCTTCGTCTGTTTAATCAAATAGTTTCTTAATGATCTTTTGTTAGTCATAAATGAAAAATCTTAGGTCTTTTTTTTTTAATATCAACTTACCACATAATGACAGATGGAGGAGTAAAATGAAAATTAGATGAGATATACAATTGATTTTTACTTGTGTTGATTATAGCAACACATGGGTCAAATCTGGTAAATGTTTACTTGTTAACAGATGAGACATCTGAGTACACTACCAAGAGGCAAAGGAATAAATTGCTAATCATAGCTCCCTTGTGTTCATTTCACAATTTTGTTTATGCAAAAGGAAGACATGTCCAATTGAAGAAGTAATTCCAACTTCAACCTCACATGTAAGCAAATTAAAAGAAAGCTTCTATGATGCTCAGACACTTGTACTAGGATGGTGCGTCCATTCCCTATTTGTGTCGTGGTCATGTCGAACTCCGACATTCAAGGACACTCAAGGACATGTATCCTATGAGCCACATGTCCTTGTCTCATTTTCTTTTTATATTCTTTAAATTACCTACACTCAAGGGATGCTTTAGAGACCCCCTTGGGCAAGTGTCCGACATGGCATCTGCTGTGTCCTATAAAAAATTATAAAAGTAAATTATGTAATAAATGCATTTTAAATTTCAAAGAATTAAAATCAACGTGTATTAACTTCTTGGTGTCATACTTTTTCTAAAATCACATGTCAGCATGTCCATGCAACTTAGGCAAGCTTAAATTTCTATAATGACATGATAATTAAGTACAAACATTGACATGTTGATCCAGAATTATCCGAAAACAGGACACGAATCGAAAAATGTAAATTTTCTCATGGATGCTCGGCCTTAGAAGAGTTTTGTTCCTCCATAGCCTGGTAGAAATATAAGAGCAATATAGGACGAATTCCCGTAGCTGAACGCTGAATGGTGTTACCAGCCCTTAGTACTTGTTACAAACTCTTAATAATTAATCCATCTCCCTTTCTGCAATGGAATAGCTAGTGCAATCTGTCCGAATCACTTCTACCCTCCTCATGTAACTTTTCAATATCACTGGTCATGTCCTTCTTTTATGAGCAGAAATATGTTTGATATCCAAGTTCTGACCGATGTTGAATCTGGACTCCTGAATATAAATGATATATGTAAATTTGGATCAGAAAAATAAAGTAATATGTTGACCATCCAGCAGCAAACAGGATTGCCAGAATCATCGATGGTTGGTGTTTTTCATTCTTTGTTGTTGTTGAGTTCCATTTTCCATTTTTTTTCAGAAAAATAATTCCGACATCAAGGGTTGGATGTGGGAATTCTCTTGCTATAAAAAATGGAAAATGAGTCTCATAATTTATCCTTTCTGACTAGATGATAAAATTCCTTGCTCGGTGTTATAGTCCTGCCGAAGTTGGGAGATTCTGAAGTGAGGAGACAATGTTGCTCATCTTGCTTTCATTTATTTTTTAGTCAGAAACCAGCTCTCTTTTTTCATATTATTATAATAATTTCATTCTTTACAATTAACATCATCTGTTACATTTCTGAGAACCTTTTATATAAAAATTTTCCTTCATTAGTTATGTGACTGGGCACCCGATCTTGACGAGAACGTAATGCTTATTTTTCTTAAATTTCCCAATACAATTTTTTTCATTGGCCACAATAACTAAAGTTCTTACATCTAAAAATAGGATTAGTTTTCTCCTAGAATCTTTAATATACCCAGAAGTAAAAGGCTTAAGACAACTTTTCCATACTGGGCATTGATATTATTTTATGAACTTAAAATATGTAGGAAAAAATTTAGATAAATGAAAATGACTTGTATTTGAACTCAATGAACAAGGCTATAGTTTGGAACAAGGTAAATATCTTTGTTTTCATTTGACTTTTTCCAGTCTTTAGCGAGTGTGCAATTCTCTATTTCACCCAGTCGTAAATTAATTTTCAATTGAACAGTACTCTCAGAGATCTCTTTTATTACCGGACCTTCTTTACTTTCATCGTGGAGTGTTACTGAACCTTCATAGTCTATCATAGGTAATCCAAGCAGATGAAGGGAACAGGAAATTGATATTTTCGGAAAAGGAAGCTGTATGGTCAAATTTTTCTGGTCAATTAAGCGTGGGGGACATTTTTGAAGCTAAAGTCGGTTCTGTTGAGGATTATGGTGCTTTTGTTCATCTGCGCTTCCCAGATGGTATTAATTTCTGGAGAAATTTTTACATCAAGTTTATAATTTTGATTAGACAATATTTTTCATTCAAGTGTCGAAACTGTTCTGCAGGAAATTGTCACCTTACAGGACTTGTGCATGTCTCAGAAGTGTCGTGGGATTTAGTTCACGATGTAAGAGATGTTCTAACTGAGGGTGATGAAGTGAGAGTCAAAATTATTAATATAGATAGGTGATTCTCCTGTATATGCCTTGTGCTGTTTTTCTCTCTTTTCATATGATAAAATTACTAGATCAAATATTCGCAAAACTTTGCTTGATAAGTCATGGAGGACCTTGTGCAACATCAGTATTTCAATTTCATTGTTGTGCGCCTGATTTTTCTCCATAATATAAATTGGTTATATTACATTTATTATCAATGAGTCACAATAAAGTTGGAGGGTACTTGATAAACTGTTGTGTTAAGAGTATGAATTTTGTGAATTGCTGGTGTAATATCTCCTTGTAATTTGTCTTCCTTCGACTTATTACATTTAGGTGAATAGATGTGATTGACAACTGACTCCCTTAGATTTATGTATATAGTACATAATTTGAGATCTGTGCAAGATTAGTAGAATAAACTGTTATAGAATAAATTCTATCACATTTTTTAAAATTAATTTTGCTCGACCTAAATCATTTTCTCTGACATTCGGAACATGATGCAGGGAGAAATCAAGGATCACATTGTCAATAAAACAACTGGAAGAAGATCCACTTTTAGAAACACTGGACAAAGTTATTCCTCAGGTCTGGAGGGATTTTTGTATTATTATTTTTTTATTCTCAGTTCTCTATTGAACGTTTAGTAGTTATTATGCTCCACAGGATTCCTCCCTCAATCTGGATACCTTGAATGCAAGCAATCATTTTACCATTGAACCTCTTCCTGGGCTTAACATGATAATTGAAGAGCTATTGCAGGAAGATGGGTATGGTTCTATTTTGTTCTTGAAAACAGTTGGATTATACTTTTTTCCTGCTCTTCTGTGTTTGTGTTTAGAAATGCACTTATGTCATCTTCATCCCTGCCTAAATTTTGGTCTCTTTTTTTATCCATTCTTCTATACTTCTTGTTGTCTTGCAATTTCATCACTACCGAGTCTTTCTTCTAATCATGATAGTTGGTACTAATAGTTCTGAAGTCGATTCATTCCCGTTAACATAATATTAAGGAAAGTAGTCCTAATTCATCATCCTCTTGTTCAGCCATACAGAAGGTTGAATAATTTCAGTGATGATCTTTATGATATATACTATTGTAGCTGTGGTTACAAAAATATAAATACATATAGGTAGCCGATAACTGTACATCGCTATCTCTCTATCTGTACAAGTATAAAAAAGATAATTAAAGACATTTGTGGATTGAGACATAATTATATTTTTATTGAGTGTTGGATTGAGGTATGATTATAAGTATGTCCTTGTATGTCCCCTGAAGGTGGTGTTCCCGTGGTTAAACCGATCTTGGTTCAAAGAAGACCTTTAAAGTCGTTGACGAGGCAGCAACTTGGTCAATGCATTGGGAGCTCATGTTTAGAAGAACTGTGATTAACTTGAATATTACCATTTTGAATTCTGTCACCAACAAAATGAGGTTGATGGCTATGTGCTTCATGCGAGAGTAAAACACTCGATATGAACATAGATAGGTAGATCCAACATTGTTGCAATATAGTTAGGGAAATTCCTAGTTCACGACTTCACGTAGTAGAGAATAGACCCATGTCAAATTGGCAACTGTTGAAGCAAAGGCTCAATTGATGGACGGATGAGTAATCAATTTTTTTATTGAAACTCCAAGATACGGGGATTATGTCCAAAAATCCAAATAGGCGCTAACAGATGTGTGGTCATCTTTGTTTCATTCTCGATCAGCATTGGAGTAAGTGTCGAGTCTGTTGGTCAAGTTCTTTCAAAGACGGAGACCATGGTGAAGCATTTCTTAGAGATGTCAAAAGAGGCACTTCTTGCTGACAAATGCAAGGTGGTATGCTTATGCATGAGAGAGAGACAGTACACAGAAAAAGCAGTCTCTGGTGTTGGAGTCTGTCAAGTACATCAGGGTATCTTGGACAGTGGTGTGTGAAATATCTTGGCATCATGCATCTCAATGTGAACAAGAATGTTTAGCATAGTTCTGTTTAACAAGAACAGACAAGGAGATGTGTGACTGAGTACACAACGAAGACTGAGAAGGCCAGGATCCTTAATAGAGAGTTTGTCTGCAATCTGAAACACAAGCTTGTTTAATGTGGACTGATTATTTCCGTCAAAAATTGATTCATTTACACAGACGAGGGGGAATGAGTGGAAGAATACATGACTGAGATATTAGAGGTGATAGCATATTTGGTTGATTGTGAAAGTTATGAGTTTGACCCCAACTAACACCTAAAGGAAGGTGAATAGGTGTTCGTATGCGGAATATAACTTTGTTAATTAATAACAACAGCAAATTTAAATTATTAATTTTATCGAGATGAAATCACATGCAATATGTTGACTTATCGCAGTTGATATATTGCATGAAAGTAAATAACACCACAAAATTGTTGATGGAAAAAACCCCTCGCGGGATAAATCTCCGGACCCAAGCCAGTAGTATCCACTATAAACAATAAAGACTTACAGACTGATGAAATCTTAGTACTTTCTGACCTCCTGACTGTAATCACCACGACCCTCCTGGACTGCGTGCTCATACACTAGTTCCCGACCTTCGGAATCGTTTATCTTTCGTGGATCACCCGAGAACTCGTGTTCTCCTTCAAACGGAACTTTGGTCACCCTTATTGATCTTCAGAACTTTGATATGTGGAAGTTTGGTTTAGGTGTTTTGATTAGATGAATTTGATGTTTTCAATGATTTTGGTTGAATCAAAGAAGATTGAATAAAATGTAGGATGTGACAACAACAATCTTTCATAAAAAATATTCAACTTATCTTTTCACGAAGTGAGGCTTGGTATTTATAGTATTAAGGTTTTGGGGTAGCATAGGATAGGTAGGATTCTCGAAAAGCGTAAATTAGGGTTTCATGGTTAGCATCGTCGCTCGAGCGAGAGTCCAACGACAGGCGAGCGATAAGTGCTCCGCTCGAGCGTTAAGCTAGCGACAGGCTAACGAAGGTGTTTCTGTTTTGAACGCTCGAGCAACAACTTGGCTCAGAAATTCGGCAACTTTTTCTTCTTGTTCCATAACCGAACACTCTCAAACCATCTATATAACCTACCAATTTACTCATTGACTTTTAAAATTCTTTTACAACTATATGTTTGTCTAAAGATTGCCAAAAACTATAAAACCTAACAGATTGGAAATTGGAATTTGATCTACCATTGAAAAGGTTTAAGGCCATAAATTTTTATATTTTCGTAAATTTTTACCGTATAATACTGGAGTTGTGGTTATGAAAATCTAAATATATGGTAGCCTATAACTGTGGGTTGAGGCATGAATATAAGTTATCGTTGAGCATTGGATGAGACGTAATTGTGGGTAATAATATTATACTCATGCCTTGTAAAATGTTAGTTCTGTCAAAACACGAGCGACCAGATCATCTTTTAGAGCCCAATCAAGTTCTTTAATCTATTAAAGTCTGACTGATATTTTGTGTAGTATTCCATTCTGACACGATATTGCTAACTACTTCTCGTGCATTTTTTTGATCTTGTTGTCCAGGATACATCATGTGAAAATTACTCGACAAGGATTTGAGAAACGGGTGGTTTCACAAGATTTGCAACTTTGGCTATCAAATGTAAGTTGTGACACGCCATTTCATTTTGTCCAAGCAGTATTCATTAATCATTTCCTCCTTTTGTGCGAAGAAAATTACGATACGGGTTTTTATTATTTACTCTTGCAATCTCGCAGGCCCCACCTACCGGAAATAAGTACACTCTACTTGCTCGAGCTGGAAGACAGGCATTAACCTTGAAAATTTTACTCTCACACTATCTGTCTCTCTCTCCCTCTTAAAGTGAAGTTCTAATATGTGATTCATCTTCAGGTACAAGAAATACTACTGACTACATCACTTGATCAAGATGGAATTAAAAAGGCATTGCAGCGAGTATTAGAACGTGTGCCTTGAATCCGTTGCTAAACTTTTGAAGTATACGAAAGTACAGGTCCAACCTCAAATTGGAAGAAGAAAGAAGACGGTGTTTTTCTGATTTGTGATTGCTTACTGTTACCAACTTGTGCTGCTATTGTACAGAAACATATCCGAGGACAACCAACCTCGTTAGTTAACTCCTGTACAAACTTAACGAGTTTTATTACTGGGATTAATGTTTGATGCTTCCATCCCATATATTAATTATGAAAAAGTTTAGAATCCGTATGCCAATCTTGCTCACGACGAACAAAACCACCTTCCTCTAATGTCATTCTCGATGCCACGAAAGGAGACAAGTGTCTAGTGTCAACAACTCGATACCAACTTTCTTCAATTGCTCGATAACGTTCTATTAAATTCTCAAGATTTGAGAATAATAGTTGAGAGTCGTTGCAGCTTGAGGTCCATTGAATAAAGGGTCAATGGTATTTCGAGAATTTCAAAATATTCCCATGTCAACTGAATAGTCACGAAGTATGAAGAACCTCGTCGAAAAATTAGACTGAAGGGTTGCGCGAGTCTTGGGAGTCAAGAAGGGGTTTGGGCTTCGCCGAAAGGCTTCAGGGTTTTCTGTGCAATGGGTTGTTGATTTGTGCTGTGAGTAGTGAGTGAGGAGTTGGTGGTGGTTGGATTTTTTGGGGGTGGATATGGTGGTGGCAGGGTTTGTGATGGTGGCGGGGTTCGATTACGAATCTATATTTTAATATTCAATTATAGATTTATTATTTTTGAAATGGAGGTTTTTGATGGCTTTGGTTTCGCTAGTCTGTTTGTAACGATTTTTTTAGAAAGTGGCAGTGACGGGTTGTATACGATGATTTGGGAAGTAGTAGCGAAGGCTGGGGTCGTGGTTCATAGGGCTGTCCGTGGGTCGATTCGGTTCGGTTCTGAAGAGATTCGAACCGACCCAAAACTTTCGGGTATTTAATAAATGGACCCGTCGGGTCAAATTATAATTATGGAACCGTTCGGGTTCGGTTCGGGTCGGTTCGATTCCATTCGGTTCCGTACCATAATTAAATTTTTTAATATTTACAGCAACACTACATAAATACAATTAATGACATTTCATTCGTAACTTTTACAAATTAACGTAGCCCAATTCAAAAACATATAAATAACTAGCCGTCCAATAAGATTAATTCAATGCATACAAATACGAAAAAGTAGATATTAATATTACAGCAACGCTACATAAAGTATATTCATTTGCTTCAAATTAAAATGGACTAATGAATTTTAAAAATGATTTGGGCTTTAAAATTAAAATTATGAAATAATCTGATTTATTTAATTAATTTACTAATTTGTTTATAAAAAAAATTAAATAATTTAATTAATTTAATAAAAAAATAAAAAAATTATTTAGTTTCGGTTCTTATTCTGTTCTTCGATTCTTGGTCTAGACCCGAGACCCGACCCAAATCCATCGGTTCTCGATTCGGGTACCCATTCGAGTATTTAATTTATGAAGCACTGTTCGGTTCGGGTTCGGTTCGGTTGGTTCGGTTCGGGACTTTTGGACACCCCTAGTGGTTCATGGTGAGTTACAATTTAAAAAAAAAAATAAAATTACACATAATATATCAGCAATAACACATAATGTAGGTTACAATTGTGAAAAAATTACATACACTACATAAAAAATTATGCTACTTGTATATAATTTTACGTATATAATGATATCCACACCCTCACATGGAGGGGAACCCATTTCAAATATATATTTGAAGTGGGTTGCCCTCAATGCAAAGGTATGTACACAATTATATACATAGAATTATGTACGTGTAAACAAATCCTAATTCCTAATTTAAATGTAGGTTAACATAGATTGTATATTTTACAATCATTGTAACATATTAAATATAAGATTTTTGTAAAAAAATAATCACACGTCAAATCATAAAATTACAGAGAATTTTGTACTTGTCAAAAAATTACGTACATATTTGAAGGACACCAAAATAATTTCTTTTAGATTTTGTAATATTACAATATTATTGGTTTACCGGATTTTTGAAATGAATAATGTTATTCATCCTCAATGGGTATGAAAATACAGTTTATGTGGTATTAAATGATAGGTTAAATGAAAAGTGAAATTAAATGACTTATTTAATTTCACATATCATTTAATGCTACATTAGCGCCACATAGTACGGCTGTCCGTGGGTCGGTTCGGTTCGATTTTGAAGAGACCCGAACCGATCCAAAACTTTCGGGTATTTAATAAATAGAACCGTTGGGTCCAAATATAATTATGGAACCGTTCGGGTTCGGTTCCGTTCGGTTCGGTTCGGATCGATTCGGGTCCGTACCATAATTAAATTTTTTAATATTTACAGCAACACTACATAAATACGACTAATGACATTTCATTCGTAATTTTTACAAATTAACGTAGTCCAATTCAAAAACATATAAATAACTAGCCGTCCAATAAGATTAATTCAATGCATACAAATACGAAAAAGTAGATATTAATATTACAACAACACTATATAAAATATATTCATTTGTTTCAAATTAAAATGGGTTAATGGGCTTTAAAAATGATTTGGGCTTTTAAATTAAAATTATGAAATAATCTGATTTATTTAATTAGTTTGCTAATTTGTTTAGAAAAAATAAAATAATTTAATTAATTCAATATAAAAAATAAAAAAATTATTTAGTTTCGATTCTTATTCGGTTATTCGGTTCTTGGTCTAGACCCAAAACCCGACCCAAACTCATCGGTTCTCAATTCGGATACCCGTTCAGGTATATAATTTACGAAGAACCGCTCGGTTCGAGTCCGATCCGGTCCAATTCGGTTCGGGACTTTTGGACACCCCTACTACATAGACTGTGTTTTCATCCCCAGTGGGGATGAATAACATTACTTTTGAAATTGGCCCCAAAATGTCCTATATTTATGTCATTAGCTCTTAAAGATCACTACTTTGAAAAGGGCGATGGTAAAATGCCCCGTTGCGAAAGAGGCAGTGATTCCCAGCCTCATCACAGAATTGCTGTGTGGGCAGGGAATATGTTTCATGTTTCGACTCTTATTTATTTTATTATTATTATTTTTTTAATTGCATTTATATTTAAAAGAATAAAAATAAATAAATAAATAAATAGGTAGAAAATAAAAATTTAATTCATGTCCTGTCAAGCCTAAAAATACTAATTTGTGATAGATGATACACAAATTGAGAAAAAAAATGAAAGTATGGTTGATTCAATTGACACAAGTCGAAGTATAGTGACTCAATTGAAAATTGGATCAAGCATATTGACCACGAATAAAATTAACCTATTATGTTAGCCATGAGGTTTGGGACATAGTTTTGAATATAACAGCAATGGTGCCAACTTCAAGATTCTATGGTTATGTGTGGGGTAAAAGGAACTTGAATTAGTCCTACAAAATGGGTATGGAATAAAGAGAGACATTTCTGTTTCTCTTAATGATATATAGCTACTATGCTATCTCAAATAGGTATATGTTACAGTGTTCTCTTTTCTGGTATGTTCATTGATCACACAATTCATTTGTGTGCATGAACTTTGTGAGGTAAGACATCATTATGTTGGAAATATTGAAGAGAAGGAGAGAGACTTTAACAAGATAGAAATGAAGAATGAGGCTCGAATATTTGCCTCCTCTAGTATGTTTTTAGAATTTTCGACAAATAGTTTAGAGGATTGACAAACTTTCAAGAAAGAAGCTCAAAAGTAAAATGATTCTTTCTTGTCAAACTTGAAGAAGGTTTGAATATGTATATAGAATAGAAAAAAAATCAAGTGTAGAATGAATGATAATTTCTAATGTTGTTTTCTTATGTTTGGAATTGGAAATCTATCACATATTTATACATTTTTAACATTATACCACAAAATGGTCCAAACACTCGTGAAAAGTTGGGAACATTCCATCAAAAGACACCAGAAATTCAAATGAAAAATCTGCCAAACGATTAAATGTTTTTGAACCATACATGTGCATGGTAGAAGCAAAAATACTTCAATTTTATGCAGACAAGTGCGTACGCATGGTTAAGCAGAAATCACCTAATATTGCATTCAAATTTCATCATTAATTCATTTATATTTTAGCCCAAAAAGGGCCCAAATTTTGAACAACAAATAATTATATAACACGTTACTCACAAGTTGTTGTTCAATCGCGTCTAACGCGTAATTGTCCGTTGAGCATCCAGTAGAAGTATATTTCGCTCTAATTCACTAGCACAAATCCAAGAAAATTGCAGCAGTCAAGAGATGCACCAAGTATCCAACATTCTTCACACAAAACCCAACAGAACTCTAAAATCATCTCCCTAAGGATTAATCAGCAATTCGTGCACCAAGATCAGATTGCAACCTAGCCTCTCTAAAATTGCAACAAAATCTATTAGAAGTCTCACTTAGAGATATAGAAGAACGGAGCTTTTAGAGAGAGTTTTAGAGCCCGTTTGACATGGCTTTTACCGTCCGTAAAAGATCTTCTAGAGGAAGCTATCTTATTTTTATTTGAAAACAAATTTCTAGAAGAGCTTTATATATAGAAATGCTTTTAGAGGAAATCACATTGGATCAGTTTCTTTTAAAAACTCTTTTTAAGTTGAGGAAGATATCTTAATTTTTATTTGAAAACTAATTTCTAAAAGAGTTTTCTATTCAATGTGCTTTTAGAAGAAGCGACACTGGATTGGTCTCCTTTAAAAACTCTTTTACTTAGAGAAATTTCTTTCATAAAATTAGTCAAATAGTTTTAAAAGAAGCTTTTTGATCTCGAAAAATCATTTTAAGTTCTTAAAAGTCATCTCAAATAGGTAAAAGGATCTTGTGTCTATATATGACTTCGTAGTGTGAGAAAGAGGTTACGTTGTATAGCCTTGAGCGTTGCCACATCACCATCTAGGAAGTGTATCCGTATCATCGAAATCACATTACCATCATGTGAGTATAACATCTGCTCT